CAAGACTCCCGTTTCCCAAGCCAAAAAATGAGAGGCCTTCATTCCTCCTCCTCTCGCCTCCTACCTCTGAGAAGGTCCAGGTTCTGCTGTTTCTCCGAAGACATTCTACATCCTCGTTTTCTCTCCACCGTCCTCCACGACTTTCAGTTCAAGCCACCGGCATCTCTTCCCCCGCAAAGCTGCGATGGCCGCTCCAAACTGGTCTTCAGCGTTACCCTGTCCCGCATTATCCAGAAGCCAGAGCTCTTTCAAATGCAAGTCCCAGCATGCCACTCTCCTCTTTCCAATCCCGTCCTGATTGCTCAACTACCTTGGAGATTCCTAACTCCTTAGCATGGCTTGGCTTCCTGTTTGGGCTCCCGGCTACGTTTTCAGCTGTCTGTCTCTTCCAGCCCTGCCGCAACCCAGCCCCGCTCCCCCAGGCTCCAGCGGCACTGGGCATTTTACAAGGACCACTCACAGTGACAAGGGGTTTCCTGGATGTGGATCTTGTGTTGCTAACGCCGGGACAGCCCTGAGCAAACCAGCATGGTTGGTCACCCAGGTTTGGCTGGAGTTTCTGCTTATTTTATTTCTCTCTTTCCCTCTCTGGAATGCTTCTCCTTGTACACTCACTTCATAGTTACTATGAAATGTTGTTCATCCCATCCTGGGCTTTTATTTCCTTTTCTTTTCTTTCTTTTTTTCTTTTTTTTTTTTGAGATGAAGTTTTGCTCTTATTGCTAGGCTGGAGTGCAAGGGCGTGATCTCGGCTCACTGCAGCCTCCACCTCCTGGGTTCCAGCGATTCTTCTACCTCAGCCTCCCGAGTAGCTAGAATTACAGGCATGTACCACCATGCCCGGCTAATTTTGTATTTTTAGTAGAGATGGGGTTTCTCCATCTTGGTCATGCTGGTCTTGAACTCCTGACCTCAGGTGATACACTCGCCTCAGCCTCCCATAGTGCTGGGATTACAGGCGTGAGCCACTGCGCCTGGTTTTGTTTGCTTGTTTGTTTGAGACAGAGCCTTGCTCTGTTGCCCAGGCTGGAGTACAGTGGTGCAATCTCAGCTCATTGCAACTTCTGCCTCTCGCGTTCAAGAGATTCCCATGCCTCAGACTCCTGAGTAGCTAGGACTGTGCCACCACACCTGGCTAAATTGTGTATCTTTTAATAGAGTCGGAGTTTCACGATGTTGGCCAGGCTGGTCTCGAACTCCTGACCTCAAGTGATCCACCTGCCTCGGCCTCCCAAAGTGCTGGGATAACAGGCGTGAATCACTACACCTGCCCCATCCCGCGTTTCTGCTTCAACGTCACTTCTGCAATGCCCGGTGGAGTGGCTCACTCCTTCCTTCTGTGAGCTCTCACAGCCCCGCTGCTCTGTGTCCTTCGCTGCTACGATCAGCTCGTTGCAGGAACAGTTTCTTTCTCATGCCTGTATTCCCAGAGCCTCACATGGAGGCCGGCACGCAGTAGGCGTTCATAAAGTTTTGCTGAATGAATGAATATCAGCACGGTTTATCAACCATTGCCTGGTTCCTACCAGGAACATGTGGGAGATGTGCCTGCTTCACAAGCCTGTGTCCTATGTATGGCAAAGGTCACCCAGGGAACTACCCTGAGGCACAGAGTCTACTCCAAAATGATCACAAGGCCATTTCCCAACCCGCATGTTCTTCTAGAACAGGTGTCCCCAAACTTTTTACACAGGGGGCCAGTTCACTGTCCCTCAGACCGTTGGAGGGCCGCCACATACATACTGTGCTCCTCTCACTGACCACCAATGAAAGAGGTGCCCCTTCCTGAAGTGCGGAGTGGGGCCGGATAAATGGCCTCAGGGGGCCGCATGCGGCCGCGGCCGTAGTTTGGGGACGCCTGTTCTAGAACCTTGCAGTTCTCCAAGTCTGTGTCCGCTCTGCTTGAAACTGGACAAGGCCCTCTGGCCAACTGGGGATGGTGAAGAGACACTAGAAGACTTCCAGGGCTGGCACCTCAAAGGTGATTCCGATTTGATCTGGCTCTCTCTTGGGACCCTCATTCTTAGAACCCAGCCCCCCTGTCATGAGAACCCCAGGCCACATGGAGAGGAGAAAAGGCCCCGCCCTCAGCCCAGGCTGAGCTCTCAATGGGTGGCACACGCCGACTTTCCAGCCATGTCCCTGTGTTTCCTCGGACGTGGATCCTGCAGCCCTCGGTTGAGAGGACCCAGAGGATACCGTGTGGCCAGGAGACAAGCCCTCCCCACAGAGCCCCACCCAACCCGCAGGTTGATGTGGAAATGAATGTTGCAGGCAAGTGCATTCAGGGTGGTTTGTTACATAGAAATAGATCACCGAAATACAGCTTCAGACAATATACGGGCAGGGCTGGGGCTTGCGCCTGAAATCCCAGCACTTTGGGGGGCCAAGACGGAAACATGCTTGAGCCCAGGAGTTCAAGACCAGCCTGGAAAGCATAGGGAGACCTCCATCTCTACAAATTTTTTAAAAATTAGCCGGGCATGGTGACACACACCTGTAATCGCAGCTACTCAGGAGGCTGAGGTGGGAGGACCGCTTGGAGCCTGGAGGTGGAGGCTGCAGTGAGCGATGATGGCACCATCACACTCCAGCCTGGGCCACAGAGAGAGATCCTACCTCAAAAAGAAAAGACCACATGCAGCCTCTGGCACTGGGGGAGCTTTCTTTCTCCTGATAGGTCCTTGCCGCCAGGGATCCTGGCTTATTCTGTAAGGGGCTGGAACAGACTCTGGTGTGGCCCATTTAGACATCTGCCTGCAACGTAACAAGCTTGTGATATAATCAAGGAGTGCGCTGGGACAAATGAGGTCAGACGTGGGCACCTGCAGGCCATCCGAGCTTATCTGTCTGTCCCTGGCTCCTGGGGGCCACCCAGCAAGAACCCCTTCCTGATAGCAGTCTTCTTTTGGAACACATGGGAGGAACGCCGGGTCTCAACTCAGGGAGACACATTCGCTTCACCCCAGGTGGTACTAACAAATCAATTGAATCCGCCTATCATTTGGGCATCAAACCACTGTGTCCAGGGCCACCCTTTCAGGCCATTATCTTAAACATGCAAAGGGACATATTTTACAGTATGTAGTATGAGGACACACTGTTCAACATTACAAGTTTGGCAAACATTTGTGTGTGTGTTTCATTTTGCTGGGTTTTTTTGTTTTTTGTTTTTTGTTTTTCTTTTTGAGTGATGTGATCTCAGCTCACTGCAACCTCCACCTCCGAGGTTTCAAGCGATTTTCCTGCCTCAGCCTTGCGAGCAGCTGGGATTACAGGCGCCTGCCATCACATCTGGCTAATTTCTGTATTTTTAGTAGAGACAGGGTTTCATCCTGTTGGTCAGGCTGGTTTTGAACTTCTGCCTGCCTTGGCCTCCCAAAGTGCTGGGATTACAGGTGTGAGCCACCATGCCCGGCCCTTGGTTTGGTTTTCTAGAAAAAGAATCTCACTATGTTTCCCGGGCTGGTCTCAAACTCCTGGGCTCTAGTGCTCACACCTCAGCCTCCCAAAATGCTGGGATTACAGGTGTGAACCACTGTGCCGGGCCCCTTCTTCATTCTCTTAACCCTGCCCACAGCATGTGTTATGGGCTACCCTGTGTTGTGATAACCTGCTTTTTGTTAGCTTGCACTGACTCCCTCTTAGCTGAGAGCTGTTCAGGCCTCAAGTTAGCTTCTTAAGCCGGACAGACTCCATCTTAGCTTCTTCATTTGAGTTTTTCCTCTCATTAAGTATGTAACTGTAGTATGTAGGTGGGGCAGGATAACACCGGGCACATCCCGGAGTGAATTTGCTGATAAGGAGCCGAGCAAAGCGGCACCAGCAGAGCCTGGGAATGCAGCTGCTGTCGGGTGCCCAGAGCCCCCGCATCTGTACGTTGTATGTCCTTTTATGACAGCTCTAACCCTTGCACCTGGTACTGTTTTATTTCTCATGTACTAGTTTATCTTTTAACTTTTTGCTTACTCTGCTTCTGTGGAAAAAATTGCTTCAGCTGGGTTCCCCCCTCCTTTTTCAAACTAGGGTATAAAAAATCCCCTCTTTCTTCAGGGCCGAGAGAATTGGGGGCATTAGCCACCTCTCTTGTCGCCGACTAAAATAAAGGACTTATAATTCAATCTCAGAGTGTGGCGCATTCCTTAACTCACTTGGGTATAACAGTGTCTCCCACAAATTCTGTGCTGAACTCTTAACCCCCAGGACCCCAGAACGTGGCTGTATTTGGAGACAGAGTCTTTAGACAGGAGGTTAGGGTGGGCCGTCCTTTTTGTTTTTGCTTTTGCTTTTTAAATTTAAGGCCTACAGCAGGACGGCATCCTTTTAGGAAGAAATTAAGGCCAGGCACGGTGGTTCAAATCTGTAATCCCAGGACTTTAGAAGGCCGAGGCAGGTGGATCGCCTGAGGTCAAGAGTTTGAGACCAGCTTGGCCAACAAGGCAAAAATCCCGTCTCTACTAAAAATACAAAAAATTAGCCTGGCATGGTGGTGCCCACCTGTAATCCCAGCTACTCCAAGGCTAAGGTGGGAAAATCGCTTGAACACGGGAGGCAGAGGTTGCCATGAGCCAAGGTTGTGCCATTGCACTCCAGCCTGGGGAACAAGAGTGAAACTGTCTCGAAAAAGAGAAAAAGAAAAAACGAAGACAGACACACACAGAGGGATGACCACATGAGGACGCAGGGAGAAGACAGCATCTACAAGCCCAAAGAGGGGCCTCGGAAGAAACTAAAGCTGCCAGATCTTGGATGTCCAGCTTCCAGGACTGCAAGGAAATACATTTGTGTTCTTGAAGGCTCCCAGTCTGTGGTGCAGTAACTAAGAACCACGGTGGGCAGCCTCTGCCTTCACACACTCAAGCAGCCTTTGAAGTGAGCCTGAATCCTTCTGGGACCTTCCTCACCCACCCAGTATCACCAATGGCACTGTCTTATGTCCCGTCACCAACCCCATGATATCTATCATCATGTTTCCACATCCGTACATCTGTCTGCATTTATGCCATGAATTCCTCTTTACCGAAATACTGCAGGACTCACTACCACAGAAAGTACTTAAGCGGAAAGACTTTCTAAGAGGAGCCAAGTAAATTCAGCTCTCCACCGTGCAAAGCTTCTTGTCGTTTCTATAATAAAGGTCCTTCCATGTTCAGGGTGCTTTGGCCCTGGAACCTGGATGAGTCATGCCTGGGCCCCAGGGTGCTTCTGAAGATGCTGCATGAGAATTTCAGCTGCGGTGGCAGTGGCTGGGAGTCCCACTGACTCAGGGGGAGGCCAGGTGAGATGGAGAGCTGGAACTTAGGGACATCTACAAAGCAAAAAGGAATCACGAGAGCGAGAGTTATTAAAACACCAAGAGAGCTATGTCTAGTTAAACTGACTTTAACAACAGAAAACCATTTTACAAGATTATAGGGCTGGATAAGATTTATTGAGATTTCCCAGCTTCACTCCCCTCCCCTCTGCCCCCACGCAATCTTTACCCTGAGCTACAAATAATACGTTCTTTAGCATCCCAAGTGCTCTCACTAACATTATTTCATCTGAACCTCAAGATCACATGCGATAGAGAGGATGGTATTAATAAATTTCATTCTGCAAATAAATGAAACTGAGGAACAGGCCATTTGAGTGACAATCCAAGTTCACACAGCTAAAAAGAGTCACAGCTGGGGCTGAAGACGGGATTTTTAGACGAGAATAATGGCATCATTTCCATATTTTTTAAATAGATATTTTTTAGAGATGGGGTCTCCCTATGTTGCCCAGGCTGGTCTTAAATTCCTTCACCCCCACCTCTCAAAGTGCTGGGATTACCAGCATGAGCCACCACATGCAGCCCGTTCCCGTAATTTACACTCTCCATTAATCAAAGCATGCACACGATCTCTCTAAAACGGCAAATGTCACAGGCTGACATCACAACCGAAACTCACAGTGGGAAGGGATTTCTCCTCGACATCTGGCCGTGAGCAGGAAAGGGAAGAGAATGCAGAGAAGAAAAGAAAGAAAGAATCGGAGCTGAGCTTGCAGGGAGAGAGAGTGAGGCGCTATTTAAAGTTCACCCTTATCTTGGTTCCAGCTGTGCAAGAGACCTAAGAGGATTGGGCTCAGCACAGATACCGTGGCCTCTCCCAAGCACAATGCCCACCACCCCCCACCACCACCCCTGGTACTCCATTCTAAGCTGGCAAGCTGCAGGAGTCATATCAGCGTCCTTGTCACATCTAACACTGTGGCGAGTATGACTGCAATACACAGGGTTTCTGTAAGTCTGTGAAAATCCTACTTTAGACTTTCATTGACTCAGCAACAACCTCCGCCGGAGATGGCTCCCTGGTCCTCCCCTCCAGCTAAGGTGCTCCCTCTTGTTCTGCAAGGAAGCCTCACCCCGGCCTGAAGTGTGCGCTCTGGTCCTCCTGTAAGTTTGCCTGTCCTTCCAGGCCTGCCTCCCTGCAGGAAGCTGGCATGTTTCCATCCACAGCAAAGCTTCTGGCAGGTGACTTCCCGAAGCCTTTATTATCAACTCCTCTGGCTTCGTGTTGAACGTATGCTCTTAAGCATTAGTATTCACTTCTAAGTGTAAATCTTTGTCTCCCAATGAGACTGCAAACTCCCTGCAAGCAAAGCTGCATTCTGTATTTTGTTTTTGAGACAGGGCCTCACTCTGTCTCCCAGGCTGGAGTGCAGTGGCACAGTCACAGCTCACTGCAGCCTCGACCTCCTGGACTCAAGCAATCCTCCCACCTCAGCCTCCTGAGTACCTGGAACTACAAGTGTGCATCACCATGTCTGGCTAATTTAAAAAAAAAATTTTTTGTAGAGATGAGGGTCTCCCTATGTTCCCTAGGCTTGTCCTGAACTCCCAGGCTCAACAATCCTCCTGCCTTGGCCTCCCAAAGTGCTGGGATTACAGGCCCACTGTGCCCAGCCAAAGCTGGAAGCTTACACTTCGTTGAATCTACAGGGGTCTACCTGTAGTAAGTGCAGCATGTTTGTTGATTTTTCTGGGGACAGTGTGGGCAAAACTGGGGTCAAAGTAGCAAGTTGTTAGCATCAAAGAGGAAAGCGGTAAGAGACGGGAGTAAATCATCTTCCCTGGTTTGAAGTTTCGATGCTAAGATCCCCGTAGTGGAAGCATTTTCATTCTTGTTTCAAGATCAGCACAAGGTAAGAAAATAAACAGGAAGGTCCCTCTGTGCTTTTTTAGTAACAGTGAAGATAAGATAATATCTGTTGAATGACCAGGTGCGGTGGCTCACGCCTGTAATCCCAGAACTTTGGGAGGCCGAGGCAGGCGGATCACTTGAGGTCAGGAGTCTTGAGACCAGCCTGGCCAACATGGTGACACCCATCTCTACTAAAAATGCTAAAATTAGCCAGGCGTGGTGGTGTGCACCTGGAATCCCACCTAATCGGGACGCTGAGGTGGGAGAATCGCCTGAACCTGGGAGGCAGAGGTGACAGTGAGCAAGACCGAGACATTGCACTCCGGCCTGGTCAACGAGAGTGAAACTCCATCTCAAAAACAATAAAGTAAATTAAATTAAACCCGTTGAATGAAGAAAAGGCCTATGTCTCTGTGATACAAGAATGGGCTAGTCACATCTCACCTGTAACAGTTTCAGATTTAATCCTATTACCGCGCTATGCTTATCTGTCATTCCACTCACAGAACCTTTTCTCCCGAGTCCCCGGGCAGACCACAGGTCCAGGCGGGCTCCTCACAGCCCTCCTTTTCCACTGTGGCAGGTCCCAGCGCCTCCCCCGCTCCCGTTTCCTCGTGGTAGCTGTCACCACCCATCCAGACTACGGCATTCCCTTCCTGCAAGCTGGGCTCGGGGAAGACGGTCTCCTTCCGGCCACCATTCCTTGTGGTCCCAGAACACAAGCTCGCAGACCCTCTTCATTTTGAGACTTTCATTCCATTATTACAAGAGATAAGACAAGACTGAAGGGGGAAAACATGGGAAAGGTATAGAAAAGGCTCAGAATCTGACACTTTGGAATCCTGCTCTGTAGCACCTGACTATCTGGTTGAAATGGTAACTAGAAACTTCTTCCATACCTATCTTGGGGTCTCCCAAACCTTTTCTTTCCTACTGATCTGCGCACCCTGGCTGTGAATCCATCCCCACCTTCTTTCCCCAGAAAGGTCCATCTTCGCAGCACATGGACTTAACAGCAAGAAGCATGGTAGGGGGATAACGGAGCCCTCATTTCACGTGATTTAATGTCTGAGAACCTCGAGGCACGGCAAGGCACATTTCATGACGCCTCTATTCTCCGTGGGATTCTTCCCAAAAGGGCATTTTCCTAGGGCTCCTCGGGGATTATTTTTGCTTTTCTCTCTCTTTGAAAATAACTAAGCATGTTTATTTTTTGAACAGGTTACTTTTCCACATAGTTCAATATTCAAAATGTACAAAAGCATTCAGTGAAAATCTCCCCCCACCTCATCCTCAGCCTCCGACGTCCCTTTCTCAAAGTTATCAGGGTTTTCTCGTTTTTGTTTTTTGTCTACTTGTAGCAATACTGTATATGCATGTGAGCAAATGCAGACTTAAAATGCAAATGTAATGCCCCCCTCTCCTTTTTTACACAATTGGTAGCACATTGTGAACACCACTGCTGTTTGCTCACTATATATGTGAGAGAGGCTATGTATGGGTGTGTGTGTGTGTGTGTGTGTGTGTGTGTATGTGGGTTACAAATCAATACACGAGGCCAGGCGTGGTGGCTCACACCTGTAATCCCAGCACTTTGGGAGGCTGAGGTGGGTGAATCACCTGAGGTCGAGAGTGCGAGACCAGCCTGGCCAACATGATGAAACCCCACCCCTACTAAAAATGCAAAAATTAGCCAAGCATGGTGGTGCACTCCTATAATCTCAGCTACTTGGGAGGCTGAGGCAGGAGAATTGCTTGAACCCAGCAGGCGGAGGTTGTAGTGAGCTGAGATCACGCCACTGCACTCCAGCCTGAGCAACAGAGTGAGACTCCATCTAAAAACAAAAAAAAAAAAAACCTGAAAAAAAAAAACAAAACCCAAATCAATACACGAAGAACTTCCCCAGTCTTTCAACAGCTGCATAACCGTTCACATCCTGATGAACCATACCGACAGATATTTGGGCCATTTTCAACGTTTTGCTCTTACAAACGATGCCGACATGAATGATCTTTACGAATTGTGCAGGCCCCTCTGCTGCAGCTGTCTGCTTTCTGGTAGGTGGACGTTGCCAACGGCCACACCATCTACCAGCATTCCTAGGGCTGCCCTGGAACACCATGATAAGAATATTCTGGCCGGGGGTGGTGGCTCACACCTGTAATCCCGGCACTTTGGGAAGCGAAGGCAGGCAGATCACCTGAGGTCAGGAGTTCAAGATGAGCCTAGCAAACATGGTGAAATCTCATCTCTACTAAAAATATCAAAAAGAAAAAAAAAAAAAGAAAAATAGCTGGGTGTGGTGGCATACTCCTGTAATCCCAGCTACTTGGGAGGCTGATACAGGAGAATCACTTGAACTCGGGAGACGGAGGTTGCAGTAAGCCAAAATCATGCTGCTGCACTCCAGCCAGGGTGACAGAGTGAGACGTCATCCAAATAAACCGAGATCAAAAAACGAACAACAGAAAAGGATTTTCCAATCCTCCATCTGTTCCTATGAAGAGGGATGAGATCAGGTAATTCACTGTTTTTCTCATCAGTTTCTGTTCTTTTTCGAGAGGCATTTATCCAATATCCTGATGTGCCATTATTGTGTCTTTAAATAGAAGAGAAATGCCAGGCCATGCACTCGACATTGGAATTCTCCAGGGTTCTGTTTTTGGCCCACTTCCTGGCCAATCAGTGCCTGAATTTTCCACGGCTGGATGTGTTTCTCTCACCTGCTGCTCCCCTGGGCTCCAGGCCCATCTATTCAGCCCCTCTTCTGAACTCGTATCCTTGTGGTCCCACAGGTACCTCCAACCTTACAATTCCTGCTATCTTTCCAGGCCCAGACAGGCGAGGCATGAACCTTAATACAACTGCCCACCCCAGATATCTGGGACTTTTCCCTTCCTGGCCTGGAAGCTCTCCCCTGTCGCCTGGAAGCTTGAGAGCAGGGGCTGTGTCTTATGATAGTCACCCTAGGGCTACTTCAGAGCTGATAAAAATCCTTGTTCATTAATGATAAAGGTACCAATGCTGCCTCCTTCTTTCTCATTTCAGAGCAATGGCTGAAACAACCTTGCAGGTGGACTCTGCACAGGGATAGAAAATTCCCGTCTTTAAGCTAGATGTCATTTTTATTGGACACGGAGAATTGAGTGAGAATGCCAAGAGGGTACTGAGGGTGAGGGGCCCAGTGAAGACGAGGGTCCCACGGGAGGCTAAGGCCCAAGAAAAGGTAGAAACAGCAGCAGCCTGTGTATACTAGCTTGTTTACAGACCTGTGGTTTTCACTCCCTTTTTTTTTTTTTTTTTTTTTTTTGAGATGGAGTCTCACTCTGGTGCCCAAGCTGTAGTGCAGTGGCATAATCTCAGCTCACTGCAACCTCTGCCTCCTGGGCTCAAGCTCTTCTTCTGCCTCAGCCTCCTGTGTAGCTGGGAGTATAGCGCCTGCCACCATGCCCAGCTAATTTTTGTATTTTTAGTAGACAAGGGGTTTCATCATGTTGGCCAGGTTGGTCTCGAACTCCTGACCTCAAGTGATCTGCCCACCTCAGCCTCCCAAAGTGCTGGGATTGCAGGTGTGAGCCACTGCACCCGGCCCCTCATTGTTTTTTTTTTGTTTGTTTGTTCTCCATTCATGTTATTGGCAGACATCTGCAAATGATCACTGATGCAAACACCACCATTGGATCCACCCGAGGATCAGTTAAGAAAACAGATTAGGTAAAGACGTATGCGGCTATGGAAAATAGATAAATATAGTAACAATGACAGCACCTGCTTTGCGCCAGTCCCTCTTCT